CTTTCGTTTCTGTGCAGATTGTGTTACGTGCAGAGCCTTACCGGGCACAAAAGCCCTGTCACTGCAGTGTCGGCCAGTGAGACAACAGGAGACATCGCCACTGTGTGTGACTCCGGTGAGTGAGCAGGTTGTTGAATTTCCACAGTGTACTTGTGAAAGAATTATGAACCAGTCAGTTATTGTTTTCAGACTGGGTTAGTGGTGATTCGGCAGATCAAGAAAAGCTGGCATTCATAGATGATCCTCCAGTGGATAGTACTGCCTGTTACAACATCCACTTTCACTGTCATTGGACATATTGGACACATTTTTAAATCTGTTTGTGGTTTGATGTTTTTTTCAACTTTTGCAGAATTTGCTCCCACCTTTCTGAAGGTGGTGGTGTAGGATGAAGACATGCATATCTGGTATTACAAAAAGCAGCAGGTTTTGTTTTATGGGACCATAAAAGCTATGTAAAATTTCAGAGGAGGCGAAACCTTTCCACTCTGAACCGCCAAGGTATAAAAATATCAGCTAGTAATGCAGGTATACTCACATGGATAACACTAAGAGATTAAGAAAAAGGAAAAATAAGAGATCAATATTGTGTTTTTATACACTAGCAAACTTGAATATGTTTCAGGTTCCAGTTTGGTGGGGCTGATGACAGGGGTTCAGTAGTGTCAGTGTCGTACAAGGCGTGTAACAGTTCAGTCTGCAGCTGCAGTGCAGTTTCCTTGTGGATTGTGACCCCTCGTCCGATGCGTTTCCGCAGTGGGGGGCGGGAGTGACCTGCGGCTGTGGACGGTGAACGGGGACCTGATTGGCCACGTCCACTGCAGGGAGATCATCTGCTCCGTGGCCTTCTCCAACCAGACGGAGGGCATGTCCGTCAACGTGATCGCGGGGGGCCTGGAGAACGGCGTGGTCAGGCAAGGGCACCTCAGCTTCACCCCAACCCTGCAGCTCTTCCTGGTTGCGCGGTGGCGCTACAGGGCTTTGTCTGTGGCTTGAGAAAATGGGCAAGAGGAGCCCAGGCAGTGCATCTTGGGAGCAGAATCTGCGCAGGGCTGTTCAGGCCAGAGACTGTCGCACACTGCACCGCTGCACTGGGTCACATGTGGGTCACAGGGCTGGGGGACACTGGAACAAGCTAACCTTGGTTTCCTTCAGGAGAAGGCAAGATGAGGTCCTGGGATGAATTAATAGCTAGCTCCCAAACAAGCCAGATGGGCCAAATAGCCTTTCATTTATAACCATTCTTATGTTCTTACGGTTGCCGTTTGATTTGATAAACCTGTTAAAGTCCTTTAGGCTCCTGCCCGCTGGCTGAAGTGGCATCAGAGGAGTGGACAGTTACACATGGAGTTGGTATCACCAGTACGGGTTCAGCTGTTCAAGATCGATTTGAACCACCCCCATTTTTGTAATTTATGTAATTATATGCGCGCGTACCGTAAGGAGCAGAGGTTAATTCCATGCAAAAATTCCAAAAGCAAAAACAAAGAAAAAACGATTTGGCTGTGGAGACTTCTTGTTGTACACACATGAAGAAAGTTCCACAGCTGAAACATTTTTTTGTTAATATTCTTCTTATCCCTGCAGAGCTGGTATACTCCAGGTATAAACCTTTACTTGTTCCTCTGCAGCCTACCCATGCTGACGCAGCTACCTACTTGAACTATAAGATTCATTTAGTGTGTATTAGTACAGTGGTGGAAATACCCTGTGTGAACTTGATTAAATCCCTTAGTATCCTTTTCTATGACACGCTAAGAGGAAGATACCCTTGACCAATAAGAAGAGTGTGTAGAGAATGAATGTGTTAAATATTTCTCGAACTAAATGAAATAAAGCAGATTCCATTTGGAAAACGTATATATTCTATGTTGTGAGTATATACATACACATCTTTAAATTCATTTTTGAATTTTGTATTCCATGTGCATTAATACAGTATTACATTATTTTAATGGCGTTAGGCACAATTTAATGACATATTAAAGAGCTGGGGGAAAAGCTAAGCTTTCAACTGAACCTGGGCTTTTTTTCCAGATTTAATTAGGACTTCACAATCACTTTTTCAGACTGCTGTATGACTCGCTCACAATGGCAACCTCATCATTATTTTTCCACCACTAAGATGGTCTGTAATAAAGCTGTGGAGCCAAGGTTGATGACTGAGAAAGTGACTCCTGTAGTTAAATCAGTGCCTTCTAAAAACAAACACCAGCAATTAGTAAAGTCGCGCAGACTGTGAACGTGACTCACCGGTGTTTTTCATCGTCTGGGGCTTCGGCACCGTTAGGCCGCGAGTCCTGTGCACTTTGGGCTTCTCAAGCAAAACATTATGAGCACCGCAAAATCTGTGTTCGAGAGGGACAAATTATTTTTTCTGCAAAGGGGGGGGGGTGGTACATTCTTTCTGTCCTTTGAGATTGACGTGGAGCTCTCTGACTTTGCTCTTGCAGGCTGTGGAGCACGTGGGACCTGAAACCAGTGCGAGAAATCACATTCCCTAAATCGAACAAGCCCATCGTTGGGTAAGCCCTTTTAATCGCTCGGTCTGTTTTTGCTTTGAGCTGTATTTTATTGTTTACTTCAACCAGCTTTAAAGGGAAACCCACTCTTGATACATTACCATGTGCACAATACCAGGTTCACAAAACCACCAGCTGCCGGGTTGTGAGAATGACATTTCTGGGCCTCACTGTGCGATACAGCAGGATACATACAGTGTTTTACTGGGGGATATGCAATTTACATCTGTGCAATTAAGATAAGAAGTATGGCTTTTGGGCTCAAAATGAAAGTTTTGGGGGTTTTCAGGTGCACGTCTGCAACCTTCAAAGGACTCAAGCCTTCTGTGAATAAGGATCAACCCTGATACTCGACCAAAAAACGCCGTCAGTTTTTGACGGTTTACAAAGAGCTGTGGGAATCGGAAGCA